ACATCTTTGTTGGTATGTGGTGCTGAGGATCGAACCTGGGCCGCACGCATGCCAGGCGAGCGCGCTACCGCTTGAGCCACATCCCCAGCCCATGCCGACCCCATTTAATTCTCTCAGGGGATTGGGTGCCTGAGATTACTGTTATTATCCCCATTCTACAGGGGGTAAACTAAGGTCAATAAAGCTGCCACCTTTGCCCAAGATCATGCGACACATAGGTGGAGGAGCTCGGATTTTCCTGACAAGTAGTCCTATGAGAAGGACCACCGGAGGCAGGAGGAGTGGAACCGCCCTTGTTCCCTCCCCTTTCTCCTTTACCTTCTACCTTATGTAAGGTTCAGTGCTATGCCTGGCCTCAGGCATCCCTGGAATGTCAGCACGTATCCCACGTATTCCACATGGATGAGGAGGAATTACTACTGTATCCTCTTTCCTAAACACACCAGCTTGCCTGTCCGCCTCTGCTCAAGGACCTGCCGTGGATCCTTCTTGCCCTCTGGTTAAGCCCAGGCCATTTTCTTGCCTTCTCTGCAGTGACCTCTGTGCATCCCCTCTACGTGGGGAGTGTCCTTGCTGTCTGCCCTCTACCCAGAAAACTCCTAGCACAACCTTTAAGCGCCAGCCCCTCTTCTCTGCCCTCCTCTGAGTCTTCCTATTGTCTGAGTTTCCAGTTCTGCTTGGATGGCTGTGCTTTGTGTGTTGGCACTGTCTCTCCCACTGCCAGGGACTCTTTAAGGGTAAGGCCTGGGTCTTGGTGTCTCTTCCTAACATTGCCCAGCAAAAAGTCTGAACCCTGTAAATGTTGGGGCTGGGTAGGTAGGTGGGTCAATAAGTAGATGGGTGAATGCATGAGTTGGTTGATGGATGGGTGTATGGATTGGTTGTTTAGTGGGCAGATGTGGGTGGGTAGATGAATGAGTGGGTGAGTGGTTTAGCTGGATGGGTAGATGGGTGAATGGGTGTGTGGGTGGATGGTTTGAGCTGATGTGTGGTGGGTGGATGAATGAGAGGATGGGTTTGCTGATGGGTGGATGAGTGACTACATGTTCCACATGGGAGTCCCATAAAAGATGTGAACCCAGAGAGATTCTCTCTGATGAGTTAATTTTTCTCATGCATCCAGAATGATACTAGTTATAAACTATTTGTGAGAATTGAGAAAATGGTCATTCACCATATCCTATGCTCTGAGTTCAAATGAGTAAGCTAGTTTGAGAAAGAATAAAGCCGAAAGCCTTGCTTCTCACTTAAGAGAGCCCACACTCTTACCTAAATAATCTGTGTCTAGGGCTGGGGTTGTGGCTCAGTGGTAGAGCACTTGCCTCACACGTGTGAGGTTCTGGGTTCAATCCTCAGCACCCCATAAAAATAAATAGAAATATTGTGTCTACCTACAACTTCCCCCCCTCTCATACACACACACACACACACACACACACACACACACACAT